GTACTTCCTTATAGTGTATATTTATGTTAAAAGTATCATGTTTTCAGCGTGTATTATGATCATATTGTTCAACGATTCTACTAACTATTAAATTCTGTCAAATTGATAAACCCAATCAAAATACAATATTTTCTGCAAAGACGAAAATTTAACAAGAATTACTCTCGAGAGTAAAATAATACAAAATAATAAACGATTTAAAGTGAATTAAATCAAGTGAATGAATTGAATGAAAACGAACGTAACCGTAACAAAAACAAGCATCAGATTCTCGAAGCAGAAAGGGTTAAGCCATTATTCGAACAGAATATCGTTGTATCTGAGTGCGTTTGGCCATGAGGACCACACCCGTGATGCTTGAATACCCATGGTGCCGAGATAAGTTTCTGTAACCGTGGTACTGTACTGTATGCCGTCAGGAATACAATAGCGTTTATCGTCGTTCGAGCATTTACGATGTAGATCCTGCGGCAACACGAAATATTCGCCATTTTTACAGATCACACGCGTAGCTAACGCACAAAGGACGATTCTCTTATAGATGACCATCGCGAATTGATACTCTCGAAACAGCGATCTGCGTGGATAAATTTGATTTGTACCGCTTCACGTGCGAATTCACGTTAACTCATAAAACGGAAATGTTACGGCGACCACACCGCGAGTGACATTCAATTTAACATTTAAAAAAAATTTTCGCTGAATAATAAGTATTTCTTTATCGATGCCAAAGCATTCGAATTACTTCTGTGTAACGTAATATTTATTTTTATTTGGTATAAGTACGTGTTTTCTAAATAATATAACTTGTTTTTAATTTTAATGTTTCATTTTCACGAAATTTTGGTCAATTAATTCATTAATTTTTTTTCATTTTTGTACCATTGTCTATGCCGTGTAAGAAAACTTTGAATTCGTAAATAAGGATTGTAATTTCAACTGTAATTTGTTATTTATATTAAATATTTATCATATATCTATAATATTATCGTTCGTATTAAGAATAGTACTTAGGAGTACATATGTTGAAATGTTCAGATGGTAAATATAATACTATTGTGTAGAGATCTAAAAATTATGGACAAATTAAACGAAAGTATAGCAAAAAGATTTAGCGGTACGTACATACCGTAACAATGCATCGATATTAGGACCATTATAATACTAAAGTGATAGCAGTTGGCCTTCACTTATGGGGGAGTGATCAACTTTTCTTAAAGTGAGTATATAGATATATGTATGTATCGATTGTACAGACATTTACTCTTGCAAAAGCGTCCCGGTGTAGATTAATTGTATTATGGTTTGAAACTGACACTCTGTACCCCTTGAAAATGGTACACTTGAATTATGTAGCATTAACGCAATGCTATTGAAAAGTAAGTCGACTTATGAACAATTAACATCTCAATATATGAACAATAGTAAGTGTCGCTTTCAGAAAAAAATATATATTTATTGAGATTTACACTGTTTTTTATTATTTATCTATTTTTACTATTCTGTAGTACAGTAAAAAATTTATATTTTATTAAGTACTTTATTTTAGCGTCTTATATGATTTTCTAATCTATAAGTACCTATATAATTGTATTATATTATTTAAACGCTAAACCATAAATACTATTTAGACTTCTCTTATAACAAACATATTTAGCATAAATGGTGAGTTTGTAAACATCTTATGTACAATAATATTACAGTTGTGAATTTTGTTTATAAAACTTTCAGTAAGTTAACTCAATAAGTTCTAATTAAACCTTAAATGTTGACAAGAGTGGTAACATGACTCAATTTGATATGTAAAACGAAACTATGAATAAGTATTAATAAAAAAATTTTATAATATCACATAAGCATATTAATACTTTCCATGGATTAAATAGTTAGATAGTGTAAATAAAATTTCAGAACAGTAATTTCAGTGTTTAAATTTTTATGCTTGTAGCACTACAACATAAAATTATGTGTAATAACATGTTTTATTTAATTAAACATTCACCACAGTATAGGTATTAGTTACTAAATAGAAAAAATAAATACATATTTGGCAAATCCATCTGGTTTCCTTATATTACAATATAAGGAATTGATTGAATCAATATTTTCCTAAAAGTTACCATTTTATGCGCAATAATGTTTTATTAATACTTTACAAATTATTTCTACGTTATAATATTTTAAAGATATGTGTAAAGTTGCCCTCACAGGTTTACTCATTTTGTTTCCATACAATAAACCTCATATACTAAGCATCTATTGTAATTGAACTTTTAGTATTAAGTTTAAATTAGTGTTAAATTTGATGTTTACATTTACACAATCAATTGCACTAATAGTAATTCAAGAAAATAACAGGAGAATTAAATATTTATTTAAAAAAAAAACCTTATAAGAGCAATTTAATATGGACTAATGGTATGTCTATTTGGTATTTAAATAATAAAAGTTAATATATTTTATTTTCCAAGCACAAATTGCATATCCAAAAAGCACTGTGACTAATCTCCAATGTCATTGTTCATAAAAGATAAGTGTTACAAATTTGTATTTACAACAGTTATTAACTTTAAACAAAAGCTTATTATACTAAATTTAACATCCTTTGTCACAATTTGGGATAAGAGATTTAAAATGCTTCTTAAAAGTAATGAACAATGCTCTTAATTTATTTAGTTTACTCAGTTTTGGAAAGAATGCATTTGTACTTTGTCTTGTCGAAACGTCTTTGTTACTAAAATTGCAAAAATATGACAAAAGCATTCTCCCTTTAGCTTAGTAATTATGCCCAATGATGATACATTCATGAAATTGAATTATAAAAATTACAATTTCTGTACACTCTTTATATTCATAAATATATATTGTATATAATAGAACACACAAGTCCAAAAATTATTCTATGATACATACAATTTCTTACAGATAAAATTAACATAATGAAACTTTGTTTCGATTACCGTTCATCACTTAACGTCATTAAGAATTTTTATAAAATAATTAACAATCATTAGTTTAAAATAGTTTCTAAATTTATATAAAGCTACA